GAAGTCTCTTGAAGTCTCTTGAAGTCTTTTGAAGTCTTTTGAAGTCTCATGGAAGTTTTGAAATACATTTAGTGCATGAAAATTCATAAAAAAGCAATGAAATTGTCTTGTTTTCGACGGTCTTATTTTAGCAGAAAGGTGAACTTTTTATTGTTTGTTTGTCAAGGTACTGGAAAAAAATTCAAGTTTGTTGGATCTTAGAAAACATGATAGTTAAGAACTGAATGCTTTGCGAATGAAGTGGTTTATTTTTATAAGAAATGTTTCAGTTATTCGATGTCAATCTTATGAAGAATTTTATTCCTTTTTGTTTATTTCTATCACTCGTGATAATCTATCAGCCGATAAACGGCTAGCTTCGCCGGTCAATAACCAACAAGTCGTTTGCTTGTGTATAAATTAAGTCTTGTTATTTATTTGCACCTGAAAATAGGAGTTTTCCAATGCTGGATTAATCGAATCAAACATACGCATACCAGTAAAGTTTATTTTCTCTGTTTTAATTTCATCAACGCTTTGTGTCATTGTCACATCTTTATTCTAGATATAGATATACTGCGAGAAACAATTCTCAGAAACAAGAAACACTTTTGTAATCTCTATATGATAAGTTTTGTTTTTTGCATGTTATAGAAATTTCATGTAATTTCTATAAGGTTTTTTGATACGCATGGAATCTGCCTCTTGAAGTCCTGTGAAGTCTTGTGAAGTCTTGTGAAGTCTTGTGAAGTCTCATGAAGTCTAATGAAGTCTCATGAAGTCTAATGAAGTCTCATAAAGCCTCATGAAGTCTCTTGAAGTCTCTTGAATTCTAATGAAGTCTCATGAAGTCTCATGAAGTCTCATGAAGTCTCTTGAAGTCTCTTGAAGTCTCATGAAGTCTCTTGAAATCTGATGAAGTCTCTTGAAGTTTTATGAAGTCTTGTGAAGTCTTATGAAGTCTTATAAAGTCTCAAGAAGTCCTACAAAGTCTCTGAAGTCTCATGAAATCCGTGAAGTCTCATGAAGTCCGTGAAGTCTCACGAAGTCTGTGAAGTCTAACGAAGTCTTTTGAAGTCCCATGAAGTCTCATGAAGTCTTATGAAGTCATACGAAGTCTTATAAAGTCTTGTGAAGTCATTTGGAGTCCTATGAAGTCTTCAGAACTCTTTAGAACTCTTTTGAAGTCTTGTGAAAATATGAAGTCACTGCGGTTGAAGTCTGTTGAAGTCTTTTGAAGTCTTTTGAAGTCTTGAAGTCTTGAAGTCCGCTGTTTCCCCCTTGCCATAGTCATCATTTGCTAAATCTGAATTACGTCAAGAAATAACGATTGCATTTTGTTAGGTTTTTCTTTTTGGTAACACACATGCGACAGATTTTGGCTATTTTTATAACTTACAAAAATAGAAGGAAAGCTAATCAATGAACAAATCGAATATTTACATCAATGTAAGTTTGTTTTATGTTTATTCTGCTCAAAATTCAGTTATTTTCTTTAGATTATAGAATAAACAATCGTCTGTGGCCTGCAGAAGTTAAAGAAATCGCCAATCAAAGGAATAGGGTCGATGTCCCGTTTTATTTTGATTTAGATGTTAGTATAGTTTTACATCTAATCGGTATTCAAATTTCGTGTCCATTCCTACGAACGGTTTTTTTTGTTGGCTAATCCATGATGAAGAAGTTGAGCGATGACGATACAAGGCACAAAGAGCTGCAGCGTAGTTACAGTAAGGCTACAAGAGCTATTAGCGATATAAGGATATCACGCCGTAGAGGTCCTATGTGCATAATATCGAGTGTCTGTGTGTTTGTTAACTGAGTTAAAGGTTTGCAGTCGCACGGTAAAGAAAAACAAACTGCTGTGCAGTATGCACGGGTTTTCACTAATAATTGAATATTAATTAAAAATTTTCACGCAAAAATATTCAATGAAGATCATAGCATAATCGACATAATAAAATAGAGTGAAAGCCGCTTAATTAATGGAAAGCTGAAAAGGTTTAATTTCATGTTTCTTTGTTACCTGTGTTGATTTACACAAAAGAACATGGCTTTCTTATTTTGTTCTATACTTTCATGTCTCTTTCTTCTTTTTGTTTTTTTATCAACACTAGATACTTTTCATAATCGCATGAACGAATAATCTATAAGATCACTTCTTAACATGTTCCGCTCGGATCGATGTGCACTTCAGTTGCAGTAACAGACCTCTCTTTACTATTATTACCAACATTCAATTCATTTGAAACAAAAGAAACTGGTAGTATACATCATACATTTGGTATAACACATATGAAGTTCATGCATACTATGACCGCTCAAATAGTAAATCTATAAATTCTGTTTATTATGATTCAGATGTGAATAGTACACTGTAGAAAATAAAAATTTAACGTTTTTTCCGATTGACTCTTCATGCTTTAAACTTTATTTGTTATTCAAGGTGAATATACCATAAGATATAACGCGTTTTGTACTTTCCCGTTATACATAATGTATTTAAAAATAAATGAAGGATGATTATAAAAACAAAAAAGAATAAACGGAGGAAATTCAATTGACTTCCACAGTTATTGATGAATACTCTTTACTTTGATCATACTCATTAACATTCTTACAACAGTGTCTTGTGCCACTCGTATTTATAAGTACGAGAGATGTTGTTAAAATGAAGGAATGTTTTTTTAGAATATGAAGATTTTTCTGTACGTGATATGAATCGTCTAAAGAAAATAAAATACCAATTATACGATCATTCTTCAACGAATTTCCCTTTTTGAAACGTCGATTGTAGCGTTAATACGTAATTTTCACCAATCAAGTGGTAGTATTATTATAACGATTAACTTTAAGCAGTTTTTTTTTTATTGTTTCTCTTATATACACGTGTCAATGAAATATCGTATATTTATTATAAAGGGTATATACATTTTTTTTGTCTATTTGTATGTTTAAAAGTGTTTAGCTCTTATTTCCTTTTGCATACTTCCGTTGAATGGTATGTAAACTATTCTTATTCAATGTTAATTCAAATTCATTCCATTTTCTTTTTGTTTTGATATTATAAATATAATTGTGTTTGTTGTAATGATCCTCTTGGCTAAAATAAACGGCATAATTATTATTATTTTTTCTATTTTCATTGTTGAGTTTCAGATTTTATATTGCAGATCTATCTTTTATCATGAAGTTTTTTCTTCGATTTTCAACATTAAAAAAAAACAAGAATCTATTGGAAAAACTACAACATGATGTCATGCATTCATATATATGATTAAAATCGTTTTAAAGCTGGAAATCATAGAATAAACTGAAGAATAAAATATATGTGTGCAATATAAATACGAAACCAGAAATAATTGGGTATGCTGTTTATATTGACCAGATAGATACTACTTCTTATTAGACAGATTCACAAGATAATTGTTTTATTTTTGGTCTATGAGAGGAGATGTATGTAATTTTGTTTTTACATGCAGATATAAATCTTTACTTTATTCTTGTTTTTCCTGGAAATCCTCAATTATTTAAGCAGTTTGTTCGCTTGTAATTCAATCTTATTTTTTTTTCTTTACCTGTGTAAAGTATGTTAAATGAAAGACGAACACACACATTACCATTGCCGACACTGCTAAGATTTTTCTTTTTCTTGTTAAAAAAATATAATTTTCTTTTTCTTTGCAGATTCTCATCTTGACTATACGTCTAATAAAGAATAGAAAAAGAAAAAGGAAAACACCAACTGACAAAAAAAACAAGCAATACAATGGACAATGAATTATTACCAACCAACAATTGTGTCTTATTGCCTCATATTCTTATGCTTGCCAAAGGGTAAGAAAATGATAAAATAAACCAGGTTATTATTGAATAAATATTTTTTTTAAAGCTGTATATAGAAAAAAAAAACCAAGATATAAAAATTTGGAATAGTTACAAATAGAAGAATGATTAATATTTTTTTTTTCCTTCGTCATATTTTTTTTTAAATACACATAAAACGACACTTGTCTACTCTTTTATTTTTGTATGTTTGAGCCTTTCACTTGAAGGTATACTTCTTTTCTTTTTTTTTTCTATTATCCCTATCTTTTTATTTTTCTGTGTCAATATAAGAGTAATAAAAAATACGCGAAGTCAAAAAAAAAAAAAAAACTATTCAGAAGGATAAGAATGACCTTGTATGGTATGTTATTTTTTTCTTTTTAATATATTTTGTTCAGATCCACAGAAATGACAAGTAGAGAAGAAGATAGAATATTTACCGTCGATGAAATATCTAATATAATTAAAGAAGTCATTGAACGATTGATTGGTAATAATTTCTATGAACATGATAAAGTTACTCGATGGACGGTTGATATTGTTGATCATATATTAACGGAATTAACTAATTTAGGTAAACGATTTAAATATATTGTACAAGCAGTAAGTAGTTTAATTTTTATTTTATTTGAATTATTTTTTTATTGAAATTTTTCTTAAATAGGTAATAATGCAAAAGAATGGAACAGGTTTACATTCAGCTAGTTCTTGCTATTGGAATGATATAACTGATGGTAGTTGTACAGTTCGGTAATGAAATTGAATTAATTTATAAAATAATAATTTCTTCTTTTTTTTTTTTTTGTAGTTGGGAAAATAAACATATTTATGCTATTGTTTCTGTCTTTGGCTTGTCGATTTAGACAATATTATGGTTTATATTTTTATCTATCGACTATTTGTTTTGCGTGTGTGTGTGTGTGTGTAATAAAGGAAAACCGAATATTTTAGTCTATCTTTTATCAAAAATAAATATTTGAAAAATTTTAGAAAGATAATAAAAAAATATGTGTGGACGTTTTGCTTGTGGTTTAGCACCTGATGTTGTACGTCATCTTTCAACTTATATGCATTCTCAAACACATGAATTAACTGTACCACCATTTATTGATTTAATGTCATCAACAAAATCTTTTCGACCAAGTTGGAATTTAGCTCCAACTAATACTTGGTATAATTGATTTTTGTGTTTTTATTTTTTTTGCTAAAAAAGAAATCGAAATTTAATTTTAGTCTTTGTTTAATATCGGCTAAACATTTAGATGAAACAGATGATTCATCAACACGAGTTCTTTGTACAATGCGTTGGTCACTTATTCCAAGTTATTATAAAGGCAATTTAAATGAATTTAAAGTTGTTTTAAATAATTGTCGATCTGAAACTATTGATCAAAAACCAACATTTAAAAGACCATTAAGAAATGGTCAACGATGTGTTGTGCTTGCTGAAGGGTATGTTTGAAAAATTTTATTATTATAAAAATAAATTCTTTTTTTTT